TAAATTGCGGGCCGAATGGTTTACTGAACAGTCATAAACTGTCATTGTGATAGAAACGCAGCGGAGTGCAGTGATGACAGCGCAGTGCGGGCCACATTGCAAGGCCTGGCGGGACGGATTTGGCCCGTGGGCCTTGTGTTTGACACATGTGGCTTAGGGAGTGGGCCTAAGCTGTTAGTTGGACATCTTTAGCACTGCCGTGGAGGCATCACTGCTGTGCTGGCCAGCCATGAGGCAGCTTCTGGCTGAGTGGCACTCCCCATTTGGAAGCACACTGACTACCAGGGGGCAGCTCCTGAATTGAGCATCTGCCACCTGGTGGTCAGTGCATATCATAGCAACCAGTTGTTCCACAGTTAGGGTCAATGTGCATTTATTATATAGGACTTTTATTATATAGAACTAGAGGCCCAGTGCACGAAATTCGTGCATGGGGGGTGTCCCTCAGCCCAGCCTGCAACCTCTCCAATCTGGGATCCCTCAAGGGATGTCTAACTGCTGGCTCCCAACTGCTTGCCTGCCTGCCTTCTTGATTGCCCCAAACCACTTCTGCCTGCCAGCCTGAACACCTCCTAACCACTCCCATGCCAGCCTGATTGATGTCTAACTGTTCCTCTGCCAGCCTATTTACCTCCAACTTCCCTCCTCTGATGGCTTGGTCACGCCTAACTGCCCTCCCCTGCTGGCCATCTTGTGGTGGCCATCTTGTGTCCACATGGGGGCAGCCATATTGTGCGTTGTAGTGATAGTCAATCTGTAAATGACTCTTTTATTAGATAGGATAAAGGCCTGGTGCACGGGTGGGGGCCAGCTGGTTTGCCCTGAAGGGTGTCCCGGATCAGGATGGGGGTTCCCTTGGGATATGGGGCAGCCTGAGCGAGGGGCCTGTGTTGGTTTGCAGGCCAGCCACGCCTTCCGGCACCCCAAGCGGAGGCCCTGGTATCAGGAATTTATTTACCTTCTATAATTGAAACTTTGTAGCCTTGGGTGGAGGCTTAGGCAGGCAAGGGCAGGCGGAAAGCTTGGCTTCCTCCATTGCCTGGGAAACCCAAGCCTCCCTCCTGCTCTCTGTAGTTGTAGCCATCTTGGTTGGGTTTATTTGCATACTCGCTGTGATTGGCGTGTGGGTGTGGCATGTGGGCATGGCATGTGGGTGTAGCGGAGTGATGGTTAATTTGCATATTACTCTTTTATTAGGTAGGTTTATCATCAGTATCAAAAACAGTTTTCCAAAAGTGTTATATTTCACAGAGATAATTCTCTGACAAGGAAACGCTACAAAATGGATTCCCTTCTACTTTTTCTATGAGTCACACACATAACTAAATATAAGCTTAATTTCATGTGGTAACTGAAAAATTCTCACCTATGCATCGTCCAGTCCACAGGCAGTGTTGATCATATCGAGCCACACAGGATTTGCATACAGGGCAATGGAGTGACCTTAATGGCTTCCTTGCCTAAGTGGGCAATTAAGAGAGGGCCAAGCAAAAATCAGACTCTCAAACTGGTAACAAATCGCAAACAAAATCTTATTCCTAAATCATAAAGACAATGGCACAAATCATTCTAAATATCAGACCATCAATTCACAGAGAGGCTCTGGAATGCCTTAGTAATATTTACAACTGCATGACCATTTTGTCGAAGCCATCACTAAAGGGACCTGAATTCCAGGGCTACCAGCACTGACTAACGGGATGAGGGAATACCATACAGCACAGTGAGCACTAAACTGAGGAAAAGGAAACCTGAGGTGCATTTTTGGCTCTGCCAATAATTTGGGAAAAGTTATTTGCCCCTTTAGGAAAAATGATTCCTCAACTGCAAAATGGCAAGTTTCACTAAGTGGTTCTTGGGTCTCCATGAACCTCTGGCTCCAAGTTAAATTTAACATATGCTTCATGGCAGGAAAAAACAAACAAAATATACAAATAGATTTTTAATCACAGGCAACGTCAAGAGATCATAAATATCATTCCCCATATGTTCAAGGCAAAAAATTGTCCTGACAGTAATGCAAAATTAGAACCTGGTAGAAACAGAGGTGTATAAATATACTGCAAAGATTTGATAAATGTTTACATGAGCAATGTGACCAAGAATTTGCTTTTAGTATGGGAAAAAATTATAAAGAAAAGGCTCACTCACAAGACACGATGTACAAAAGGTTCTAAAGTCCAGACAACCAGTCTCTGCGAGGGTGATGATATTCTGAAAAATATGCAGTTTGACCTTATGTTTGCATTTAATAGGGAATGTATAATGCATGGTCATATACCATAATCACAGCTCTCTCTCCAAACTGAGGTAGCTAGCAGAGCAATTTGGAAGATTTGCCAACACTTGATTTGCCATTCTGTGCCTGAAATAATGTGATTTTTTTCAAGGCTGCATTTTCAACCACAGCCAATAAATTAGCATGCACAAAAATTATACCCCCTTCTCTCCATCAATGGCAATGACCTCCCAGTTATAATCTGTTGAAGAAAAATAAACAAACACTCCTAAAAAGAAACAAAAACTACCAGCATACAACAAACTGATGGTTATAAGCACCAAAAGCTCAGTCTTTGAGGAAGACGGGCTGTATGTAACAAAGAAAACACTTTCCCCAATTTCTAAACATTCATAGGCAATGAAAGACATGCCATGTCATCTGACAACTTCACATCTTAGTCAATAAGGAGGAGGACCCTCCTGCCCACTGGAAGCTCTTGCCTACACCATGTATTAAATAAGGGACATTAAGTTATATGATCACTTTCTAAATGTTACTGTAAAAAAAGCAGAAGACCATATCTTCTAACAGAAAGTACGTCTGAAAAAGCCTTAGTAAGGTATTAAAGAAATTAAAAATATTTTTAAAATTTTTCATATAAACAAATGAAAAAGTATGACAATAGACAAATCTCATTTTGCTGATTTATACATTCCACATTTAATATTATTAGGTGCCAGGCACTAGAGACACAGTCATGACAGAAACCAGCATGGCTATGATCTTCTGAAGTTCACCCTCCTACTTTAAAATTAGTAACATTACAAAGAAAGCTCACCGTTTTCCTTTCCTCTTCAGAAGCCTTAATGAAGCCTGGATCCGTTGCCCAAGTCTTATAGAAAAAGTAGAGGAAGCCTATTATGCTGAAAATAAAAGCAAAATAGAAAGGAGTGCCTGCTAGATGTTAAAGCCAAGTTAAGGAACATATCGCATCTCCCATAATTATGACACAAGCAAATCTCATCGTTGGTGCCTAAGAATCTCTCTGCATTCTATCCTCACCTTCCCTGATGTAACACATCCTGCCCCCATACCTGGCCCCATCCTATGTTCTAATCCTATGGGAATTTGGTTATGGTTCACAAATTAATCCTTCCTCAAGAATTGAAACCCACATGAATTATTGATAGGAAGAGTTGCAATACATGAAGAGCAGCCTGAAGAATGAAAAACATTCAAGATTCAAATGAATTAATCTCCAATGGTATAATGTGGCTTTCCTGAGAGCATACAGAAAAATACTTTCTGATCATTCTAACCAAATCAATCAAAGAAAAAACCAATTGGTTCAGAGATTTCAACTAAAACTATTTTTTATATATTAAATGCTTGCAAAAATTTCCTACTGCAAAGTTTATTACCTAGTCATAACTGACAGGCTGAGTTAATTTAGAAATGACAGAAACTGCTCTCCCTGCAAAGTAATTATAAATCAAATATTATTTGGGAAAGGCACATGATATAAACTGAGATAAACATTGTTTTAAGGATAAATGAACAGTTCTCACTACAAATTCTTTGTATAAAAAGTAAAATTTTGCTCCAATAAAATTTGTGCAGTAATAAATCGATATGCCAGTAATAAACCAATGTCCTTGCCCAATTTAAACCAATATTGACACAGTAACTGTATTTGCCTTCCAAGGTGTTGCCAAGATGTCTGGTGCCAAACTCCAGAGTAGAAAAGGTGGCCATAAAATAAGATTCTAAGCACTTGCTACTCAAATTGTGAGCCATAGACCCACAGCAGTGGCTTTACCTGGGAGCTTGTTAGAAGCAAGAACCACATACCTCACCCCAGACCAGCAGAATCACTCTGCTATAACTCACAGAAACCAGCACAACTACATCTGGTTCAGGTTTATCTGCAGATGGGCCTGGCTTTAAGAAATAAATAGGGCCCAGAAAATTGTGTGAAATTGAATTTTAACAAATATGCTTACTTAGAATTAATTAAGAACAACACTATTAAAAAGTTCACAGGACAGAACTTTTGTTAAAGAATCACATCCTCCCCCCCCCCGCCCGCCCCCAGAAAAATTATGATCAACATATATGACACATTCTAAAAAGCACACCAATGAATCATATGATAATCCCTCATATTTAGCTGACTTTCTGCTCTGAATAACTTACAACTCCTCTCCCTCTAAGCAAAGTGAATTGCACTCTATCCCCTCACATAAAAGCCAAGCTTTCCTTGCTTTGTGTGGTTCACTGACCTCAAATGCTCCCCATCTCCACCACCACCCCCTTCCCTGTCTAATTATGAAACCACACTTTTAGCATGTCCAGGTTCTAAACGCCTTCCAGACCTAACTTATATCCCCTTCCCTTTGAAGGTCATTCCCTACAGAGGATTCTCCCTCTTATCTGAATCTAAGGACGCTTATTCTATGGCACTTACACCTCAAATTATATTTATAGGTATCTCAACCTTTCCAATTAGCTTGTGACTCCTGCAGTCAAAAAGTTTCTCAACTTAGACAAACAGAACTTTATTTCCTTAAGTATGCTTTATCAGGCGTCTTCAAACTACGGCCCGTGGGCCACATGCGGCCCACAGAGGAGTCTGACCCAGCCCGCCAGGTTTTTTGGGCAGTGAGCGCAGCCGAGGTGTTACAGTAGGAATTACAATAGTAGTTCATATAGTCCGGCCCTCCAGCTCTCTGAGGGACCGTGATCTGGCCCCCACTTTAAAAAGTTTGAGGACCCCTGCTTAGATACTTCAGCTCTACACTATAGATATACACGATAGCTGCCCTTTAGATCTACCCTACAGAAGGCACTGGCTTCTGTAGGGTAAATCTAAAAACTATTCCTCATTTGTTCAGTAAATCTTTACTGAGTGCCTTTCTACACAATGCACTGGCTTCCAAATGGTAGACTTCCAAACACTTGAAATGGGAAGGCAGTGCTCAGGCTAAGCAGCAACATTATTCTTCATACAACACTGTTCCTGGTCAAGTTCCTCTGTTTATGCTCCTGCCTGCCCTTGTCTCTTTTAAAAGAACAGAATTCAAGACAGAACAAACACACTTTAGGTGTGTACTGAAGAGTGCGGAGGATAGTAGATTGCTGCTGTCTTTTGCTTGGACACTCAAAGCCTTGCAATCCTATTGGAGAATGCACTGGCTTCCATGACAGCTGCATCACTACCTACACCAGGCTTTTAGTCAAAGCTCCTGGGGGTTTTTCACTTGACCTGAAACTATGTCATTTTCACATGTGCTTGTACATATTCTCTGAAACCCAATACAGGATTTCACATGAGTTTATACCTCTTAAATTTAACTCAGCTATAGCCAGAATCTTTAATCTTTAGTCTTTAATCTTACTTCCCAACTCATCAATATGATCTTACCTCCTTAACTTGATACTGTCTCATAAAATCCATTATTTGCTGAACCAAAACAAATTGATCTGAGGAGCTAATCTAGAGGTGCCCTTAAAATTAATTTCAACATGCAGCCTTCTACATAGATTTTATTTATAAGACTAAGTAATAATAATAATAATAGGTATTATTTATAGAATTCCAATTATGAAATGGGGACCATGGTCAGCAATTTGCAAACATCATAACACAGTAATCCTTGTAGCCACCCCACTATTAACCCTGATTTATAGAAAAACTGAGACTCACTGAAATTAAATAACTTGCCCAATGGTATTTAATAAGAAAAAGGGCCAAAACTTAAATTCATGCTGGTCCTCTTTCCACAGTGCCCCAGACCCTCGTTCTATAGGCAACTTAAAAGCAGACACCCCCCCACAATCCAGACTTGGCAACCTGAGACGAAACTAGTACAAAGACTCAGGATGGGCTTTTACAGGGTAGCGCTTTTGTTCATACCCAAGGCAGTTCAAACAGCATTTACCATTCAGCTTGCAAAGCACCGATCTGATGGCAAAGTGTGCCACCTACTGACTGACATCCCTCAACAGTAACAGGCTTATATGGATTCCTAGATCAAATGGCTTTATGCTGTACGTGTGAGTAAAATATCCCATCTCATCAACTCCAACATCTTAAGATTTTGTCTGGCTACGGAAATCAGTTCTGATATAATGGCATCTTCATAAACAGTGAACAGTTTGTAATTAAACTCAGCTGCATACTGAATGCTGCAATTCAGGTTTTCAAATTATAGTGTTGTTAATATTGATTCTATAAACCTGAAATAATTGTATATAATAACTACAGTACTTTTTGCGCAAAATTTGAAATACTGTTAGTTACTCACATTTTAAAAATTGATCAGGAAACATAATTTTAAAACTATTTACTCCAATGCCACATGGGTTGGTAAACAAACAAAATCAGCCATCCCTTTTCAATATCATGTCCCTAAATATCAATATCAATTTCAATATCAATACCCTAGAATTTACCAGCCTTGGGATTTCCACAAAAGATTTTTATGTATCTTGTGCTGTTAATTGATGGTTACATGTAAATTTAATTATTTTTATATCACATATTGGTATCATCCAAGCTTTCATTAACTGGAGGTAATAAGGTTAGTATTTAAAAAGCTGCCCCCAAATCAGTAATTATGAGACAAAGGTTAAATGTAATAAAGTCAAATGAACTCCACGGTATGCTGTACCATTCATTTAAAGGAATCTAAAAAAATATTAGCAATAATGCTCAGAAATAAGAAGTGCCATTAAAGTAGAAACATGCTAAATGAAAGTAGATGCATACACTTAAAAAGCTTGTATGACTCTCATTTTACATTTACTCCTATGAAAAAAATGTTCTTATATTTGAGTGAATAAATCTCTCCCATAAATACTACTCTTTCTTTTTAAAATGCCATTACCAGAAATAGAAATAATATACAAGTTAAAGGAATATGCTTAAAGGTACATTCTATCTAACACATTCCTTCTTCTCCTACCTGTAAGGAAAACAAGTTTATAATGGCTTTCTAGAATACTTGGAAGGAAAAAAGGGATCCTGGAAAGAGGTAGGAAGGTGGAAAATTGGAGGAAATGCCTCTTTCTTACTGGTAGCTATAAATAGCTATAAACTAAGAAGTAACCCATGTTCCCACTTCTAGGTGACCAGATTTGGTCAACCCTAAAAACACAGCACACCCCTATGCTGGACTTGGTCTGATCCCTGCTCCTCAAGTGATAAACCTACTAATTAGGTGGCTTTTGTTGTTGTTTTTAAACCATGGGCTGCCATCCATTAGTAAGCCATGAAAGAATTAAGTGGGCTGTGACCAGCATGTTTTTAAAAAATACCATTTGACTTTATTACATTTAACCTTTGTCTCATAATTACTGATTTGGGGCAGCTTTTTAAGCACTAACCTTTGTATTTTACCCTAATATAATAGGATAAAATAAAATTTCAGAGTACTAGTAAAGCACCTATTAGGAATACCATTTTCTGAAATGTTTGCTTTAAATGTTTTAGGTTAGCAATGTATACTTATTCTTATTGTGGACTGAGAATCACCACCTAGGATAATAACACTATATTAACACTGTGGACTGAGAATCACCACCTAGGATAATAACACTCAACACTGCTGAGGAGGCCACATTTCCCCCAAATCCCTCCATGTAGACCACCTTGGTACCCAGATATATTAATCAACTATAACTGCTGACCAAATTAAAAGATCCATCTGACCTTAAAAAAAAACCTCAAGGCAATACAAGAAATTTTTACGGATCCAAATAAAATAATATTTCATTCTACCGTTTCTTTCCAATGAGTAATAAATACTAGACACCTACTATTTTCATTGTGTGCTCTGAGATTATTTTCAAAGTTGAGTAGATTTTCAACACTAAACATCTTTAACCAAAATCACTAACTGAATACAAATGTGAGTTGCATTCCCTGGATCTCTTCTAATATCTATATTTCTAACAATGGCATTACTATTTTTTAAAGGCAAAAAGAGATAGACATTTAAATTTAAGCTTGAAGGATATGAGGGAAGAATAAGATGAACCAAGTCACAAATATCCAAAAAATGGAACTTAGCAGGAAGACAGTTGGTAAGTACACAAGGCTCTTATACCCAAACAAGAACCTAAAAGAGAAAAAGATAAACAAGGTATTAGTGAAAACAAGTATGACTCACATTAACTTTAGTTCTAAATTCCATTAAATAGTAATAGTGATAATGATTCCCTTAAATACCAACAACAGCTTTCACTGCTTACCATGTGCCACTTTCCACCTGGTAATGAGCTACACGTCAGCATCACTCCGTTTTACTCATTAGAAAACGGAAGCACAAGGGCTCTCAAGAAGTAAATGTTCTCTTTCTTACAGCTAACTTATATATTACTTCATTCCCAATCACTTTATATTTTCAATGATTCTTTTATTCCGATTGAGACATAGCATATTTGTATTTCTTTTGGGGGGGTCTCATCATATGTTCAAATACTCCAAAATGCAAAATTTTAAATACTGGGAGATTCACCTTCCCATCTAACAAGCTTTCTCCTAGAGCTTGCAGGTTATTTCTGAAACATACAGATGGACATAACCTGAAGCCCTTTCATCCCACAACAGCTTGAGCAGCAGCCGCTGGACATAAAAAGATGCATAAAGGTTTAAAGTAGCACTAGTTATTAGAACACCAACCATCTCACTTGGATATAACAAGAAGCTTGAAGTCCACACAAAATTTACTCAAATGTTAATATTGTAGTTTCAATAAATAAATAAATAAATAAATAAATCTGTTTTTCACATAAAATATTCAATATTGTAAATCTATGCATGAAAATAGTTTACCTGGATCTGTTTTTAAATTTATATCAGGAAAAGACAACAGTTGATGATAGGCATGAAAAGGGTTTTTTAAAAGCTATCAAGATCATTAGGATATTATGATAAAATATTTGAGAACTAAAATCTCAAACCTAATATGCTGCCAGAATAGGCCATATGGAGTCCATGTAACCTCCAGGGCATGACCTGATTGAGATTTTGTAGCAAAAATGTGTTTGAACTAATTAAGTAGTACAGTAAATTACCTCATTTTTTAAGAGACAGTCTACTTGTGACAGGCATCAGATAGCAGCCTGGATCAATAAACAACTGCCCCTGGAGCCTAATAATAGAAGTTTGCAGCTGCTTACCTCCACGAAATTGGGCTCTACAGAGGAGTGTGAGAGAAATAAAAGTAGTATGGATAAAGTGGCCATATGCATTTGTCTCCCATTTGAATGGGAGACAAGCCTGACATATAAAGCCCTCAACCCACTGTTATAAAAAACAAAAGCTTTCATATACATTTTTTTATAATGTAGGCTTTTATTAAAATAAAAATATCTCAAATACCCCTATCCAAGATCAGTAAATACTGCCCTTGCTTTCTCTCTAGAAAAACAAAGTGATGATTATGATACCTGGTAATCTGGCTTACATTTTGTTTGGAGACTGAGTCAATCCACTTAGTGAAAAATGAATAACTATCTCTAAGTTATAAGTTTTCTGAATAGCAAAAATTTTAGACACTTTGCTTGCTATTTTCCAGAAATTTGAGCTTTTACTTTATTGTTTAGATTTTAATTCATTTCCAGCCAACTGTCCTGCTCTTTGGTGACTAAATGGTAAGATTCCTCTAATACTTTGGTTTTTCTTATGACAAAAGTAGCATATGCTTATTCTAGAAAATGCTGGCAGGCATAAAAAGGGCACAGGAATCTCATAATCACACCCTAAATAGAGCAACACTATTTCCTTTTAGGTCTTTTCCTACAGATCATCATTACAGTTTTCTTTCATTCAGGAGAGGTTTCCTACTTGTATGGACCCTACATTCCAGCAAACAGTGATTAAGTGCTATGAAGAAAATGAAGAAAACAAAATGGGGTATGAGGGAAGGCCTCACTGAGGAGGTGGTATTGGAAATTGAGCCTGAATGAGACATCTCCAGCTATGCAACAATCAGAACATGTCAGACAGAGACACAAGTGAAAGCCAAGGTCCAGGGTGGGAGGAGTTTGATGTGTTCTAAAACCAGAAAGAAGGTTAGAGAACAATGAAGGAAGGAGATGAAGTCAGAGGGGAGGAAATAAGTCACATATTACCTCCTAGACAAGGAGTTTTGATTTTATTCTGAGTACAAGGAAAGGTCATGGAGGGTTTTAAGCAGGGGAAAAAAAGACAGAACCTGATTTGCCTTTTTAAAAGACTATACTGATTGCTAAGTGGGGATGAGCTGGGTGGGGTAAGAGTTGGAGTCAGGCTGAAACCGGTTTGGCTCAATGGATAGAGCGTCGGCTTGGGGACTGAAAGGTCCCGGGTTCGACTCCGGTCAAGGGCATGTACCTTGGTTGCAGGCATATCCCCAGTAGGGGGTGTGCAAGAGGCAGCTGATCGATGATGACTCTCTCTCATCGATGTTTCTAACTCTGTATCTCTCTCCCTTCCTCTCTGTACAAAATCAATAAAATATATTAAAAAAAAAAAAAAAAAAAAAGAGTTGGAGTCAGGAGGCCAGTCAGGTTTGATGTAGGGTGCCAGTTGTGGAGATGCAGAGAGCAGACCCAATGTAGGCTGAGCAAGAAGGACTTGGTAATGAGTTGAATGTGGGAAGTGAAGAGAAGGAAAGAATCAAGAATGGCATTACTCCAAGGATGATACCCATTCTTCAATGTGAGAAACTGAAAAGGTAAGATGAGGATGTGACAAAATTATTGAGCATCGTGTGTCAGCCATGGTTCTAACTGTTGAATGTGTGTTGAGCAGGAGACAGGCATTGTCACAATTATTATCCTCATTTTATACACAGAAAAATTAAGGCACAGAAATGTAAAGCAACTTGTTCAAGGTTGGCCTGTTATATGACTCTTGGCAATCTGACTCTTAACCAAAGACTATATGGAACCATGTATATTTTCCTAAAAATAGGACCACATCATAGTTACTATTTTTTAACATCCTGTGATTTAACTAGGTTGTTGCTACTAAATAACATTAAGAACAAAAATAATTAGTTCAAAATGAATTTAGATTTAGAAAAGGAAAAAGCAAAATTTCTGAAAAACAGGCAAAAATGCTTCAAGATGCAAATTAGTTACAAAAATCTCCCCATCATTCACCAAAATTATCATTTCAAAAAGTGAGCTAGGATATTTATTTTCAACCAGATGTCAATTCAATTAAATTACTGTGTTGACCAATTAGCTTTCAGTCCAATCATATGCTACCAAAGCCCTTCATTCCCAGCAACCCTGAGAATGTTTCTATGTGATAAGTAACAGAGCTCAATAAAAATCTGTAATTACAGCTAATCAATAACAGAAACAAGCAATCAAATTAGAATGCAATAATCAGCCTTGCAAAGACTAATATACACACCTTGGAAACAAAGATGTCAGAAAAAGCAATGTTATTAGAAAGCATCCTTTTAAAAGCCAAGAATCTGAATTGAAGTCCAGTATGTATCCAACAGCCCACACGGTAATCAATGAAAGCATCAGCAGCAGGAAGAGCTATTAAGAGATTCAGAGTTTTAGAACTTTATAGATTTTACTTCTTAAGTATCTAATAATAATTAGTTCATTAGAAGAACTACTTCCTAAACATATAATAACAAGTAATACTATTGCAGAACACAGAGTTTTCCTTCAAAATTGCTGACTGATAAATCTGATGTTTGAGAAATTACATATCTTGGAAACAATCTTTTAAAAGCCTTACATTTTATAAAATGTTATTTACACATATTTTGTTTTGCTTTCCTCCCTGTCAAGAAATGTTGGTCATTTAGAAAAGTGTTAATCATAACTGACATTTAGAAAAACAATAATTTCTTCCAAACAATATAAGCCAGAAAGCATAAACCAAGACAAAAAGGCCACACAAAAATCAATATACCCAAGGTTTAATGAGGAGAGTATAAGAGTTCCAATCTGGGCACCAGATGGTGCCATTTCCTAATAAAGAGGGTGAGAAGGAACAAGTTTTCAGAAAAGATGAGTTTAGCTTAGCACGTGTGGAATTTTAGATGAATGTGGACATCTAGTGGATATGAAGGAGGCAATCAGAAAAGTAGGTTTACCAGTCAGGAGGAAACCTGGATTCATCAGCATATAGGTGGTAAAGCCGTGAATGAACAACATCCCCAGGACTGTGTGCGATCAGAAATGCAGGATGAGAACCAGGAGAAAAAAAGGTTCCCCAGAAGCTAGGGAGGAGTTTCAAGACTGGAGTCATTCTTAGTGTCAATGTCACAAAGAGGCCAGAGACTGAAACATGTCCTCGCAAAGTTAAAAGAATGAAAGCCTATGAACCAACAGTGTGACTACCTGCACTGACGCTAGCACCACATTTTTACAATGCAGCATACATCAACATACATGACCTTGGAAGCAAATGGAGAAAATATATTCTGCCCTATCATCTTCAATTTTTACTTCTCTGAGCCATATTCTAAGAAAGTATAATTTCAAATGGTATCAGATCTTTAAAAATTTTCTAATTAGATTGCATAACACAAAATGAGCAAGTTTAATTTTTAAACAAAAAAGGTAAACTTAGAATCTACAAGCAATTTAACTTCAGAACAGAAGAATTAAATATGGTCTTTTCTCATAAGCTTAAATTCTAGCAGGGGAAGACAGACAATGTACTAAGAGAATTTTATAAAACATAAAAAGCTCCAGCCCTTGTAAGGACTTTGGCTTTTATTCTGGGAGAAAGAAAGAAACCTAGGATTCTGAGTAGATGAATAATAGGATCTGATACAGATTTTAAAAGATTTATCTGGCTGCTCTGTTGAGAATAGACTAGAGATGAGTCAGACAACTGCAATAATTTATATGAAAGATAATGGTGGCCGGACCAAAATGCCACTGGTGGAATGGTGAGTTGGTATTAATGGATATAAACTGAGGGTAAACTCACTTAAACCTTTTTCTAATGGCCTAGATACATGGTGTGACTGAGAAAAGACACAGGT